TAATTCTTATTATTATTATATGTATTATATATTATATAATAATTAAGTATTTCAGAAAGTCAACGAAATGCAATTATCACGCTAAATAGATAAGCATTTTTTTATTATTTTTTCAAAATGAACATGTTTGATATTACATTGGACGGGTTAATTCGAAACGGTGATTGGAAGAAGAGTAGAAAATAGAAATAAATGATTAGGTTAAAATGTGGGTTTCAAAACAAACCAAAACCAAAAAAAGGTGATGAATATTTGAAATAAAAATAAAGTGATAGGGAAAAGGGGGAAAATGAAATGAAATTTCTTTATTTTTCATTTTTATAGAAGAGACAATATTTTCGACATTAGAAAATATGATTTATTTACAGGATTGTAAAAGCGTTAAATATTTTTAGCATTAGAAAACAAATACAGAATAATATATTCTCCTACCTTTGTCATAATAGGGCTGTAGGTACTTTCACGTAAACTAAAATCTTCATATTTCACAAAGTTCGTATCTCTCCTGAACGTTTCTTTTTTTCAATTCGTTCATAGTAATTTAGAAGCTTTTAGAAGCTCGAAAAACATTAAAATCAAAGACATGATTTTTATGAAGTTATTTCTTTTCGTGAAAACACAAAGAGGAAGGGAGAGAGAGAGAGAGAGAGAGAGAGAGAGAGAGAGAGAGAGAGAGAGAGAGAGAGAGAGAGAAAATAAAAATAAAAGTTACATTTCTTGATGCACCTTTATATAAATGTAAAGGTATTTATATAAAAGTAATAGTATACATAAATTTATTACTTAATGAAAAAAAAAGGAAAAAAAGAATTAATTTACTCATTTTTCTTTTAATTTTTTCTTTTAATTAGGAAAAGAAATACGTATCCAAACGTGTGTGTATATACATATATACAAAATGTGTGTTTCCTATTTAATTGCATAAAACCTTGATCCTGCAATGTGTTCACAAAAAAAAAAAAAAGGAAGAGAAAGAATCTAAACGAAATCGATCCTATTAATAGGCAAAAGAGAGATCGTTAAAACATTTGTCGATTTCATAACAAGAAATTTACCGTAGTTTTTTCATTAATAAAAATATTGTTTATTAATTTGGCCTTAGAGAGAGAGCCAAAAATACGCTGAAAGAAACGAGCGAAATTAGGAAAAAAGAAAAAAGAAGAAAATCGAGAAACAAAAGTATCGTAAACTCGTCTCTTTGTTAAAATGACTTTTATAAATCCCGTCCTACATCTCTCACCTACACCTAACAATCCTTCAAAAGTCTCTATTTCGTCCCTTCATCGTCTCCTAAAATGTCTCGCAAAAATTAGGCTTGTTCCACACATATGTAAATACATAATTATAATACATGGTGTTGTAAAAAAAAATGGCGAAGCCGACCAATGGAGAAAGATCTTATTTGTTTGTTGGTTTTTTTTCTTTTAATAAAATACGTACACGTACATATACTTCTAAATTACGTTTAAAGTAAAAGAATAAAAATACTCTCCAAAAAAATGAAAAAGAAAAAAGGTTAATAAAGCGAAACAACAAAATACAGTTGAATATTCTTGGGGAAAACAAAAATTCATTCGCTCTAATTGCTATGAAAAATATTGTCACACACCTGATATTTATTTTCCTGAAAGTGCCTAAGCCGAAACTAGAATCTTTGAACGATAATAAAATGTCACAAAAACAAACAAAAACATCGTAAAAAAAAAAAACCAGTAGAAAAATCAAAGCAAACATCGTCGCCATTTTCATCC